AAAAGGATGAATAAGCACTAGGAGCCAATGAGGCTATTGCTTTCAGAAGTAGAGGGTTGAGGTACATCTGTGCCTTGCAGTATCTTTGCCCAGATATAGGCTTGAACCAGGCACAATTGCTTAACTGTAGGCTATAGGGAGGTCCATGACTTGATTGTGCTGTCTGCAAGGGATGTCTGAATCACAAGAGACTGGCTGAACAGAATTACAAATCCAGTGGCATGTAATATAGTTCATGCATTTGTACTTCAAATGTGCATTTAGTTCTTTGCCTGTAGTAGGGTTTTGAATGGAATTAAGCTGAATTGGAGAATGAAGCAGGGAAAGGGCTTCTGAATTATGAAATGTGCTGTACAGATTCTCAGAGCCAAGCAGCATTTATTACAAGTGAGAGAAAACAGGATGCATGTGCTATTTGCTTGTGTGTACGCTGTAGGGAGGGTAATGGTTCCGGAACAGACTCATAGGCAGATTAAATAGAAATTTAATTATAATGAAACTATAAAATTAACGTCAGTGGTTGTAATTCCCTAAGTGTTGCTTGTATGGCTGGATTTGGTGGTATATTTTTTAGTAAGACTAACTTAATGAGCTGTAATGCACCTCAAAGCATGAAAAAATAATGCAGGCTGCATTTATTTCCTAAGCAGTGCACAGAGGACACATCCATTGTGATGGTGCATTGGGATGCTATTCTAAATGAATGGCACCGCACTGTATCAATGCATATTATTGCATTGCAGGGTGTGCGAATGGTCCCTAGCTAAAGTGGACATATGCTCAAATGTTACCTTAAACTGAATCCAATCCTACAACGTTTTTAAATAATATGGTAAAGTGCAATGTATCTTTGTGCCTGGAGAATTCCATGGCCAGGCTGTGCACAGGCATCATGTAGATATCCCACAGCACCCCTAACCAATATACCTCTTTTTTCTCCCGGGTGTTGGAGTAACTTGCGCATAGCCCTGCATGAATCCAAGAATCCAGGAAGAAAATATGTCACCAGCACACGTTTGGGTCTTAATCCAACAACTCCTTTAAAGCAGAACTCCAGGATTTTGAAAACCCTTGCAATTTGGAGCCCCTCTGCAAGGGTTAACGTTTCAAAATCCTGGAGTTCTTCTTTAATGACGTTCATTCAGCATATCAAGAAAAGAAAACATTTCCAGACTTCGCAGGGTCCTTTCATCAGGCAAAAAAGTGACGTAAAGACTTTGTTGGATGAAGATCCATAGGCTGTACACAGGGTCACAACCTCTGCCAAGCGACCACTAAACTTCACCTTCACTATTGACCAGTCCGGTGTTAGCTCCTGGCAGCGACGTAGCTTCGTTCTGACTTGACATCCTCTCAATAGGATTGCCCTCGGATTAGGGGTCCTCCCAATCACACAAGAACTTGTCTGGCATATATTGTTAGTTTACATACTTTAGAGCTGTGCTAACACTCTTGCTGTGTAGAAAGTAATAGCTAAGTTGAAATAATGAACTTTACTGGAGAAAATGCTGTTCCAGTCTCCCGCCATCACATGACCAAAAACCTAGGCAGAGTTTTCTCTAAGGATTTCAGTTCTGCTACCCTTTATTTATTTACTTAGATGAATGAGAGGTCTGCCTGCTGTCTTCCGAATCACGCACCCACACTGGCTCGGTTGACTTGTGGATCTGGCTCAGGCTCAGTGAAGACAAGTGAGAACAATCGCCAATGAGTCACAAAGATGTTAGCGATGACAAAGACTTCCCACGCTAGCAAATGTTTTATATATTGCTCTAGATAATAAACTACAACAATTGATGCAGTTATGCATTCATTAAAAATAATTCAATGAGGGGAATTTATCATAGCAAGCAAAGACATCTAATAAAAAACAAACAGTTTTTAGTTTTCATCATGCACATTAAAAAAAAAGACAAGCACGCAACCCCCAACGGGATAGTTGGAGCTGGGAATGGTGACTTAGCATTACTGCATGTTGCTTATTCATTCACACCAACCTTTTAACCCTGAAAAGTATGCGGTGTTCCTTACTAAGAGTGTAACTTGTGAGTCCTTATTATGCTCTTGCTTGGGGCGAGGGATTAGCTGAAATTGACAGCGGCGGCTGATTGGGAGGCTGGATCGGCACCCTATCACTGCAGGGCCTCTATAACACATTTCTTGGCTATGTGATAGCACAACCCGAGCGAGACGTGTGATAGTGATCAGCTTCTGTCCATCACACCACATAGCAGACACCAGTAGTCACACACCTGTCAGCTATGGCTGATTGCTTTTTTTTATAAAGTCAAACTTTTCACCTTTTTTTTCCTAATTACAAGGTCATCTTTGTATAATGTTCAGGTTTTACATTCCATTTTACAGTTTAGACTCAGAATGTGGACATATGTGTTTTGGAAAGGCTTAATAGTGCCCCGTGGACTTATTATTGGAACTAGTGTAACATAGAAGTACTAAGGTTGTCTAAGCCAAGACATCCTTATTGGCTCCTGTTGGAAAGTTAGCCTAATTCCAGCATTTCTTTTTTTATCCTGCACTAGGGAAAATGCCAACGCAACCTAATTTTCTGTGGGCAGCTTCTATTTAATAGTGAATTTTATTACTAAATCTCATTTAGGTTTCTTAAAGTGACAGTAAGCTCAGGAGTTAAATCTTAAAAATGCATTCAAGTACCTTAACGATTAGCAAAAATGTATTTGTATCACTCAGCTGTAGATCCTCCAATCATCTCTGAATTGGTGCTGACACAGTCCTTCCTTCTGGAGGGTGACTACTTATGTTCCCCATGGTCCCTGTGCCATCGCTCCAAGCTCTCTCTCATGGTGGACTACAATCTCAATGCAAATTAATAACCTAAAAGTGAGATTGTAGTCAATCACAGGAGCGAGCTTGGAGCGGTGGCTACTTTCAAAACACACAGGGACCATGGGGAACAAAAGTAGCCCCCCTCCAGAAACTCAAAGTTAAGCTCCACTTTAAAAAGTTAGGATGCATTACAGTGGGCATCAACAAATCTATAAGAACCTGTGGCACTCCAGTTCTGGGTCACATGACCCACGGCAGTTTTGTAAGCGATTGTCAGTCTTAACAGGGTATTCATTCAGTTTGACTGGAGACTATGTTGACTTTAGCTGCACAATGTACAGATGCTGCAAAAGTGGGTCATCTGACCTAATCCTCAATGGCAAGACTCAGTGTGGAGTAATACTGCCTAGACCAGCATTTCTCAACCATTTTATAAGTCGCAGCACCCTTTAAAATTATTTAAAAAAATCTCGAGGCACCCCAGTCTAAATTGTAATGTATTTTAAGAGGAGGACCCCCTTTACATCAAAGTCACCCCTTCACATCCGAAAATCAGAATCCCCCCTTTCAAATTAGTGTCCCCCCTTTACATCAGTAGCCCTCTCTTTTCACATGAGGAGCCTTTAGTCCTGGCTTCACATCAGAGTCCCATTATCACAAAATTTTGAGGCACCCCTGAGAAAGTCAGAAGGCCCCCCAGGGTGTCATGGCACCTTGGTCGAGAAATGCTGGCCTAGACCAAGCTTTATTGCTTTGCAGTGGAGAAAAGTAAATGAGCAGGATGTTAAGATGATGTCTGACAGGGCTGTATGGATTAGAAAATTGGCTGAAAAGAATTGCATACTTTTTCAGGATAGTCAGATCACACATATGTATTCTACTGTGCATTTAGGGGATAAAAAGAATATATTGTCTTTAAAGCAGAACTCTGGGCAGTTGTTTGATCATTAAAGCCCACCTTCAGGCAAAAATTGCCCAGAGATGGACTTTAAAATTACGACTGCCTCCAGTTGATGAATGATTTAATGTTTGTTTTATCAAGGGGATGATCTAACAGTGTGAAATGTGTATACTACACAAGTGTGGCTCATCACGGGCTCCACAAGAAAAGCTGCTGCAGCCCGGAATGCGGTGATTAATTTTCTTTTCTAACTAAAGCTTACCTTACGGCAGCTGGAATTTCCGTCCTCTTCACTTCCTTAAAATATTTATTTAGTTTTAGGCCTCAGGCCTCATAGGAGGTTATCCATGTTTTTGTTTTTTTTTCCACACCCACCTGCCCACCTAAAAGGTAAAATTGCGGCCTCTCAGCCCTGTATACATATGGCGGCCAGAATACTTTACATTCCAGGTGTGGCAAATTTGGCAGGTGCCATGCAGTATTGCAATTGAAAACCCCCACTGCGGGTAAAAAACGCATTTAGGAGGTGGCAGTGTCGCCTTGTGAACACCAGGCTCTGATGCCCTCTGAAAAGGCAATCCAGAAAGGATTGCTTTTCAGGGGGGCGGTGTAGCCTGCCACCTGTCTGAAGTTATCCTTAATGTAGTTTGACTGAGGAATTTATATATTTTTCCACACGTTGAGTAATACAGTATGTTAAGATTATCACCATAGTATCTAAAAGGTCTCAACACTGCTTCTTTTATGGTAAATATAAGACTTAATACCATTGCCCACACTATCGATCTTTCTCTTTTGAAGAGTCACCTGATGCCCACTTCCATGCTAAAAACTATGTCCAGTAGTCACAGGGGGCATCAGATTAAACCACAGAGCACAGAGGGGAAGCAGACACCTGACACTACCAGAATTGTTGGATGCCAAAGATCCTTCAGCCATTGTAGCTCTTCAAGTGAGCATAGGTCGGTGGTTTGGGCATCACGACATATAAGCATTCTTGGCTTTACAGCCAGACCATATTTTCAAGTTTATTTTCCTAGCTGCAGTTGCTTCAATGCACTTTATGAATGTTTGCCAAGTCTACTGTATAAATCTCTAAACAAATAGTAATTTTCACACGTATTGCAATCGCGGGCCATTTCAGTTTGGCCAGGTACTTCAAAATCAAGAGTCAAATGATTTGGCAAAATACAGAGAAGAAAGACAGTAGTATAGTTGTGATGTGCAGTGTACCTTTATTCATGATATATGCCTGTGTATTACTATTTAAATGAGATGTATCATTTTCTACCAGCAGAGAGGAGAAAAGAACATTCTGCGAATTGGAATCCAGTCTCTGGGATCAGTGCTTTGGGGTGATGACATCTGCAGCGATGAACGCCCACACCACGTCCACAGCCTGACCAGATTTCTGTATGCCCTGCGAGGTCTCCTGCGGTCATCTCTGTCTGTGTGTTTCATTACGGTGCCAGAACATCTCATCCAGGTGAGCTCAGATACGCTTCTGTTTTCCTGGGCAATGCATGCCTGTCATCTATTGTTCAGACAACCCAGACTGAAGTACTGGCTCCTCTGAAATATGGATGATGGTCAGGAATGCACTTGGCCTCTTTATCCAGTGTCATATTTGGAGGTGAGCTGAGTGTAAAGCTGGCCATACACACATAGATTTCTTTTGTTCAGCCTGTGGTTGGCCAGCTTTAAAGGGTTTCCTTCAGTGCTGAATCTAAAGATACCCACCCTATATAGCTGTTTAAATGATGCAACAAACCCATATACGCAATCATTTAAAGTGTATGGTAACCCTAAATCTATTTTTAGTATGTTCAACATTATGACCTGCAGTTTTGCAGTTTTCTTAAGCAAATCATTTTTTTTTTTTAACCGGTTGCAAAGTGTCTTACCTGGAGATCCTGCCAGTATCAAGGTCTGTGCATGTCTGCCACATACCTAATAGGCAGCCGATAACTGAAAGAGTGCACACAGCATGCTGCGTATTGCAGGGCAGTGGCTTACCATTGTAAAAAGTGATGACAAGTCCAGAAAGGCGTAATTATAATATGTTTATACTGCATTTGTCAGCAAACATGTATTGAGAGATGATTTAAAACTTTATGGCTCAATGGGATCTATGCATTTGCATAGAAGTGCACCATTTTGTAGCCTTGGACAGGTGCGTTGTCATGCATCAATGTGTGTTTCCTTTTTGTGTGAACATTATTGACTTATTTTGGCATCCCAACACACTACAACTAAAAAGAAAACAGACATGTAACTTTCAAATTCAACAATGCAAATTGGCTCTTAATGTTTTTCATTGACGCAATAAAAATCACTCTCTTCCCTGGGAAGATTACAATTCATATTTTTTTTATTATTTGGCAGTTTTCAGTGCTGCGTGACTTCGGCAGTTGTTGTCCGACGTTAAGCAAAATTGTATTTCTATGGCACGTCAAGGCTTTGTGCTCATCTCTTTACACCATCATGTGTCTGACATACTAAGATGCTGTATTGTGTTTGATGGAATAAGAATCTGGTTTATTTGTCTGGGATTTGAGCCTTATATTATAGCAAGAGGGGCTAAAAGTGCTTTTTCTTTACTTGCTCTCCTATACAAAAACGTTTTAGGCCTGACCTAGATAACCCTTCTGTCTCGGGGAGAGTGCTTTTCTTGGCAGGGGCTGTCAGTTGTGCCGGAGTGTGTGCTAACATTTAGCTCTGTCTCTAGAATGCAGTGCACCAATCACAGTTTTCTTTTTGCTCTCAGGCTATTTTTCATGTAAGTACAGTAACCTGTACTGAAAAAAAAATGTATTGTAAGTTATTTTACTCGTTTGATGGCTTTAGAGGTTTTCAGATTACGAACACTGGTTTTATATACATTTTTGTTAATACATTTTTCATGGCGCAGTGGTATGCGGAATATATCAATACCAAGAATTTGTTTTTTTCCCCTTAATATGTAACACAAATCTGTCATGTAAAAACAAAAAAAGACCTTCAGGTATAAATAACAAGCACTAAGAGTTGCTTCCACTTACGTCCAAGTGCCTGGCCATTCTGCCAGGCCTTCACTTCCATATTCCAGGAAAAGCTCACACATTTCCTCCTAGCGTTGAGGCTTGCCAGCTCCCTCACACCCCCTGTACATGTTTATTGGCCATTGAGACAGCCCATCGTATCAATGGGCCAATAGGCATGTGTAGGAACTGGAAAATCCCAACTTTACCATAAAGGGTCAGAGCTTTATCTATTATAATGGCTCGGTATTCAGATATACCATCAGCACCTGGAGCCTGCTGCAGGGATGAGGTTCCTGCCGTTATATCTAACCACAATGGTCTCCCCAGAACAAGGTGTTTAACTGAAAACAAAACAGGTTACAGTATGTAAAAAAACTAAATATGCATGTGAAAGTAATTGTGTGCTTGTATAAAATTATTAATTTGGGGTTTATTCAACTTTTTGAGTAGCCTGTAGTGGTGTGGCCTTTTTAGTTTTAAAAGACCACACCAGCAAGCATCAAAGTAGTTCCAAGTAGCTTTGTTGAAGGCCCTAAATGGGATCTCTACTATGGAGGTTAGAATAATCTTTTCCCTTTTACTCAGTTACCATGCCTTGTTCTGCACTGTGTCTATGTGTGGAGGGTGACATCTTGGTAGAAGAGCAGGGCTTGGCTTCCTCATGTCAGAGCCATCAACCTTATGACTGGTGATCTGATGGGTATATTCAAAAAGCAGCAGGAAAGGTGCAGAACACACTGATACACAGAATGAATGAATGAAGCAGAAGCAGACGCATGCAGTAAAGATTCCTCTCCAGCAAGCAACAAAGTAGTGACATCACCAAATCTCATGAGACAGGTGCAGCAGTGCCTTAGATGTTGTTGCACTGTAGACATACAGCTATGAGGCTCAAGGCACAAGAAGTGCCCTCTTATTTTCAGGAGGAATTGAAGAGTAATATTAACATTTTCAAGGTACTGCTTACGCACAGTTAAAGCAGACCTTTTTTTTAATGTAAACACTATGAAGCTGCAAGTTAAAAATTGTGCATGCATGCACAGCTGCAAAATGATGTGCTGCTGCTGCTACAAGCTGCTGTGCAGGCATACTACCAGGACCTAGGATTCTCTATAACCTCTTGGTTTCAGCTCTTCTGGCAGCATAGCCCTTCGATCATAGGCTTTTCACACCACCCTCACACTTTGTTTTTAATGCTCCTATAAGGGACACAGAACAATGTGGCCCCCGAGCCCTTTATTTTTCCTTCTTATCTGTTGACAACTGCACTTTTAAGGCCTCCTGCACACAGCAGCAAACGGTCACACCCTTATATTGTGGGCATATTTTATTTTTTCTCCCAGAAGTTAGAGGTAAAGTATACACCTGCATCCAAGCAACCTATTCAAATCAATGAATAGCTGCGGCGCTGCACAGTTATAATCAGATATACACACAGTGGTGTACAGAGCCATATGCACAATTTTGAACACAGGCAGTCTGTATTTGGGGATGCTCATATGGCATATACAGATGTGTTTGTGAGCCCTGAAACAAGTTACAAGAGGTTGGGATAGAAGTGCACAAATACATGCTCAGTTCCTGCCAATAAATAAAAGTAATTCCTATGGAGAACTTCCTTTGACTAGATGTAGCACCATTCATCACCTTCTACTAATGCTAATGTACCTGTTAAGCAAGGTAGAATATGGTTAATATGAAACATGGATAATGCCCTCCTTTAACAGTGCTCTATAAGATATCAGTAGAAAGCAAATATTAAACTGTATCTGCCAAAATATATATATATATTTTTTTTACTTTTGCATATAGTAGGAGAGAGTAAGGCTGCCTATACACTGCAATATTTTCTTTGTTCAACTTGCAGGCTGAATTAAGAAAATATAACAAATTCCTCCATCAATGCTTAGGAGCGCTGATCGAGGAATCTCCCGCTGTCTTCACTGTATTCTGATGGTAGCCGCCCATTGGCTACCTACTCTTTGCATTCGAAGATTTTCCAACTGGCTGCTTCAGCTGATCAAGGAAATCTGGCTGAAAGGGTGCTGACAGCAACACCCACATGCAAATTGTGCATAGGATTGGCCAACTTTAAACCCTTGTCATTTTATATGTGCCATCTGTGTGTCAATAGGGACACTTCTCCTTACTTTTTATCCTGCAGAGCACAGGAATTGAGAGGTTATCTTTCCAACGTGAGGAAATATCCCCTCTTAGACAGATATCACGGGAACAAGTGTCCCCATTGAAAGATTTACATTCTATTCCTGTGCTGGCAACTCAACATTTTGGATTTTCCCTCACTTTTATACCCCATGACATTGGTGATTAGCACAATTTCAGAGGGTAAATCTCCCTAACAGGAGCAAAGACAGCGATACAAAATCTGACAGTGATTCTGTCCCATCACAGTTAGGCTTATTCAAGAAAGAGGTCAAATGCAAGTCAGAAGGAGGTTCACTGCAGGTAAATGCACTTGTCAATTATCTGAGAAGCATCTCAAACTGATCTTAAAAAGAGAATTCACCAGAAAGCAAGCTGCATGCTTATCAACGCAAGCCCAAAGCCGCTTGACTCAGTCCATTAGATTTCTGGTCAACAACAAAGTAGGTGCTGTATCAGTACAGAAGCGACCCTGGTCAACAACATGTCATGAATCTGAAAATTGGACATCCGGAAGAAGCACTTGAGCATTTGTGACATCACATTGCATCGCAGGCCAGTGTGTTACAATCTTTTAGGATCATCACATTTCGTTATGTTGGATGAAGGATTGCCTGTGCATGGCAAGCCTTGGATATCAGACCACTTTTCTACTGAATAGAATCCCAATGTAGTTAAAACTAGGATATTGTTTAGAAACAAGGATCTGTTCAAATCACTATATACAGCTAATTATTTCTCACATCTACATGCACAGCTCAGTGTACATGTTAAAGAAGATTGTGAACAGGCAGGTAAGTTTGTTTTATTGCGGAAGAGACATTTCATGTATCTTCTGTAAAATAGAGCCTGCCTGCATGCAGTTTTTACATTTTTTGGTTTACTTCGGCTTTAAGCCTTGTAAAGAATTATTAAAGAGTTGCATATTTAACAAGGCTGGTACGACACTAAGCCAGTAAGTAAACTGCCATTAGGCAGACGGAAAGGCTATTGCCTCCCTATACTCTGCATTACTGTGTTCCCAGAGCCCTGCTGTGTACTTGCCCTGATTTTTCCTAGAAGCCTGTTAAAGAGCCCCTGAGAACATGTGCACAGCCCTGGATGTTAATAGATAATTGGGGGAGAGGGCAGGATGGGAGGACAGCCGAACATGTGGTCCCAGGCTCAGACACTAGACAGCCCTCCATATACTGCACTAGCAGCAGATGCTCATGTTGTTTAACCCCTTCCCACCCGGAGCGTCACGTGGCCGTGCCTCTGCAACCTCTCTGGTAGCCCGAGGGTTTAAACAACCTACTTT